GTGGTCCCTGATGCTTTGCTAAGCTTGTTCCAAGTAGGTGCTTTAGACCACTGAGCCATCTCTCCAGCCCCTGACTGTTCATTTAAAAAAAAAAAGAAGGTTGAAACTAGCCTTACTGTTAAATAAATACCCACCTTAGGCCAAGGAGATAGCTCAGTGTATAAGCACCTGCCTGGCAAGCACAAGGTCCCAAGTTTGATCCTCAGTACCAAAAAAAAATAAAACCTTTTTAAAATCCAGGTGTGGTGGCACAGGCCTGTAATCACAGTACTTAGAAAGCTGAGGCAGGAGGATCTCTGCTAGTTCAAGAGTAGCCTCGGTTACAAAGTAAGCTCAAGGGCGGCCTGAACTAATACGTGACCCTGGCTCAAAATGACAAACACACACACACACACACCACTTACACAGAAACTAGAAGAGAACTTTATCTCAAACAGCTGAGATGTGTACGTGTATGTGGGGAAGAAAGGAAAGTGGGTGGAGCCCACAACAATATCTATTATTTAAAAAATATTTTTTAAGAATCGAATGAGAGACTGGTGGCACATGCCTGTAATCCCAATGCTTGGGAGGATGAAAACAGGAGAATCACTACGAGTCCTATCTACATAGTGAGACCCTGTAGACCCCATACTAAAATACATAAAAAGGAAGGGGAAAAAAAGTTCAAAAAAAATTTTAAAAAGTGAATGAGGCAAAAAAAGGTAATCTTTTTTAGGTATAAGATCAGCACACAAGGGGCTGGCGAGATGGCTCAGTGGTCTAAAGCACCTACTTGGAACAAGCTTGGCAGAGCACAAGGACCACGGTTCAATCCCCCAGCACCACATGCCAGCCAGCCCCGCCCCCTGGTGGGCTGAGCTGGCCACACACACACACACACACACACACACACACACACACACTAAATAAATAAATGTTTTAAAAAAAAAAAGATCAGCACACAAGATATTCTTTGTATCTTACTTTTATTCTTGCTTTCAAATTGGAAACTAATTTCTTTAAAAACCTTGGGCTGGAGGAGGAATTCACTGGGACAGCAGCAACTGAGCTAGCTTGCACAGACCATGGGTTCAGTTAGCAGCACCACCCTCACCAAAAACAACAATAAAAACACATAGTTTAAAACACAGTTCCATTCTAAAAATCATCTTAAACACTCTGTGAATCCAAACCGGCAGGTTTCAGAAGGCTTTCCTTGTGCTATGCATGAAAACATCCCCCGAGTCTCCTATTCTGAGCTCTACCTGCTCACACGGCGCTGTGCCACAGCTGTTCAGACCAGCACGCCAGGGCCTTGCAGAGAACAAGAGCTAGTGCCCCAAGGTCTGGTCAACATGGACATCCCACCCAAGGCCACCAGAGCAGCAGCAAGTAGAGTATCCACCCTGATCGTGAGATGCAGACAGAATAAAAGCTTCAAACCAGAAGTACCACAACAGAATATAAATACTTGAGTTTTCTGTAAAGTTTAATCATCTACACTTAATGTCACAAAATCCTTGCAGAGTTCCTTATAACTGTAGAAAGAATCGGTATGACTATTTTATAGATAAGGAAATGGATTTTTAAAGCTCAAATTATTTCCCTTAGATATTTTAGAATCGGAGACTGTGTAAAGGCATCTCTTTATGAAAGCCAAAGATAATTATTTAACATGAGAATCCCTGAGGTGGCATGCAAGGTTCTGAGTAGCTGAACTTTTCTAAGAGGACCTATCAAATTCCTACAGTACACACGACGATACCTTCTCCAGAAAAGATACTAAAAATAATTTTTCTCACCATGTATATTTATGTTTTCACATTAAGGCCAAGAATTTATTTTTGGCTCATGAACTACAGTATTTATTATATGGAAACAACAGTATGGAATTTGTTGGTTTTGGGGGGCTTTTTTTGAGACAAGGTCTCATTATATAGTCCAGGCTGGTCTTAGACTCACTATGTAGCCCAGGGTGGCCTCGAACTCGCAGCAATCCTTCTGCTTCAGCCTTCCAAGTGCAGGGATTATAGGGATGCCCCACCAGGCCTGACAATAGGAAGTAATTTCGTACCAAAATGGGTACCCGCCAATATAACAAGGTCATGACAAAACTAAAACCAATGAATATGAAAAAAATGGCAATTTTAAACCCGTTCCTTATTTAACCACAATACCAAGTACAGATTCATTTGGTATTAATTTACATTTTAAGAAAAAACTAACTGCACTAATGTGAGAACTGGAAGAAGCAGGCAGACAGGCCAGCCCAGGCCCCACCCTCAGGTTAAGTGAGGAGCCCAGGCAGCCCCACTGCTGCCGCCGCAGTGTGCACAGCAGCACACAGTGGGCCAAGCTCGCCGCACAGACGCTGTCTCGGGACCTGGCTCGCACTGCAGGCTGTGACCAAGCCTGGCCTGGAAACGCCAGCATGCTCAAGACGCTACCAGATTCCATCATTCCCCCAGGAAAGACTTACTGTTTCTTCAGCTGCCTCTGGCCTCTTCGTTTTGGGCTCCCACTCTCAGACCCGCTACTGGCCTTCAGTGTGAGGGGAGAAACGGTTACAGACTTTAATTCACAGTTCTTTGGGACAATGCCATCTCCTGGTTAACAATCTATTCAATACAGCACATTCAATTCAAAATTTCAGAGAAAAAAATTGAGCTCAAGCTCGGGTAGAGGTCACTCTTTGCTTTGAAATGTATTGTCTGTAAGGCTGGGTTGCAGCCCATGGGGGAGCACTTGTCCTGCACAAGCAGGGTCCCAGCTCCATCCCTAATGAGGCAGAATAAAAAAGGCTGATGTGTTTTTGCATCACTGAGTTATTTCTCAAGCAAGGTAGTATTCATTTAAGCTCAATTTCCAGAACAGTAACATCCAGTAAAACTCTCTACAGTGACATACGTGTCACACTACCTGCAACATCTGACACAGCAGTAGCCAGCCACAACAGGAATGAGGGACTGTACTTAAATTTTACTTCATTTACATCAATTTTAAATGCGACCTGTGACTGCTAGTGACCATATTGGATACTGCACATGTAAACTACAAAATAAACATGCTATATCTAGTAGTAGTGTGCCATACAGGCACCAGCTCCTCATGACATTCAGCAGCAAGTTCCAGCACAGTTCAATCATAAGCCGAAAGTGCTCTCTGCTAATAGTACTAATAAGCCAAGAACAATTTAGGCACTGAAATTTGAACCAGTTCCTCCCCCAAAATTAAGCAAAATGGCAACTACCACCATTAGTCTCATGCCCTATTAATATATAATAAACAGGGAAAGATGTATACAACTCTGTAATTGGCTACAGCCAGTCTCATTCAGTATGGCTACTCAAGGAAAGCAAAGGCAAACCAGAGGTCACTTGACATCAGAGGTCAGTCGATAGCAAATATCAAACATGCATTGCACTGAGTGGGTAAATTCGATTTTTAAAGCCTATTTACTAAAAACCCACACCCAACCCACTGTCCTTTGAAATATCAATATTTAACTTTCATATGAAGATGTTTTATAGCTAAGACTCACAAAGTCCTTCTAAGAAGATAGGAAGGGGACACCTTACTAAGAAACGAGTATCACCTCAGACTACTCAATAACCCTAACACAGAGACAAGAACCCACAATCTGAGAAAGGTGAAAGAAGTCTGATTCTTCAGGGCAGCAAACCTGTCACCAAGCTGTCAGGCATGGTGGTACATGTCTGTAATCTCAGCACTAAGAAGCTAAAGCAAGAGGATCTCTGAGTTCAAGGCCAGTCTGAACTACACAGTGAGACCCTCTCTCAAAAAAATGAAAAAATAAAGAGAGAGAAGAAAGAAGAAACCAACCTATCCAATCTAACAAAATCAGATAGCAAATATGTTGGAAACAAACCTTTTCATCTCACACTACAAATGATCTAGGAAACCAAATTTACTACATAACATTATAACATCTGAGTTTAGTATTCTCGCCTTCTTCCTTTCTTGGGAATAAGTCCAAAGCTATTCCCATTATTCACCAAACAAGTTACTAATTTTAAAAAAAATCTCAATTTGGGGCCAGGGAGACAGCTTAGTGGCATAAGCACCTGCACGGCAAGCACAAGGTCCTGAGTTCAATCCCTGGTGCCAAAAAAAGAAAAAAACACCTCAATTTAGAAAGCAGATTTTCAAAAAATCAACTTCTTGCTATAGTCAACTTCACTATAAAAGATTAGAAAACAAAAATTTAGGGCCAGTTCTATGCATACTCTACTGAAGTAGATAGTTTTGCAGATATTTTGGAAGTAGATACCTCTAGGATATTTTTGATACAGTTCTTTTATTTAAAATCCTGACTTCCTGTGCCTATTCACAGAAAGCGCCCATTGCTCACCACCTCCCACGCCTGAAGTTCAGCCAAGCTAACAGGGACACACTCCAGGGTCAAAAGAAGAGGCAGGGCAGGGAATTCACACACACCCCTTGAACATTGTTCTCTTACCTCTTCCTTAACACTAAAGCGTGATGGTTCTTGTCTGCTTCGGTTTGACCGTCTGACTCCATAAACATCTGGATATTCTTCCCACATCTACAAAATTAATAGATCATGTATCAATCTTTTTTTCCTTATCCTCATTTACTATTTTCATTATTAGAACAGTTTTTCAAGTAACTAAGCATCAATAGGGTTGTTCTGGGGCTGGGGAGATCGCTCAGCGGTCTAAGCGCCTACCTGGCAAACACAAGGTCCTGAGTTTGATCCCTGGACCCACATGCCATGCAAACCTGAAATCCCGGGTGCACCGTGCTGGCCCTGAACTGGGCTTGGTAGCACATGCCTGTAATCCCAGCACTCAGGAGGTTGAGACAGGAGGATCACTGTGAGTTCGACATCAGCCTGAGGGCTAACAAAAGTGAGCACAAAGCCAGCCGGAACTGCGCAAACCAAGCCCCTGTCTCAAAAGGGGTTATTCTGCTAGTTTCATTTATGAGATAAAAGCACCATCACAAAAAAAAAACACCAGAGAGCCAAGCGTGGTGGTGTAAGCCTATGATCCAAGTACTTGGGAGGCTGAGGCTGGAGGATCACAGTGAGTTCAAGGCCAGCCCAAGCTATATAGTGTGTTCAAAACCAGACTAATGCCTGGCAAGCACAAGGACCTGAGTTCAATCCCCGGTCCCCCCCACCAAAAAAAAAAAAAAAAAGACTGAACTACTGTAACAAAATACTGTCTCAAAAGATAAAACAAAATCAAAAAAGAACAGGCATTCCCAAGACACAAAGTATAAAATGCCTTGTAGACACCGAGATAGCTCAGCAGCATAAGCGCCTGCCTGACAGCAAAGTCCTACATTTGATCCTGGTATCAAAACAATTTAAAAAAAAAAAAAAAAAACCTTTCAGGGCCAGAGAGATAGCTCAGTGGACTAAGTGCCTGCTTAGGCAAGCACAGGGACCAGGATTCCATCCCTGGTACCACATGCCGCACCCACTGAGCCAGGGACCAAGTCCTGTCATGGTGGCACATGCCTGTAATCCCAGCACTGGGAAGGCTAAAAAGAGGAGAATCACTATGAATCTGATTTGTGTGTTGAGACCCTGTACACCCTGTACTAAGTACATTTTTTTAAAAAAAATCTATTGTACTATAAAGTACACTGTTTGGGCTGGCGAGATGGCTTAGTTGATTAAGCACTTGCCTGGCAAGCACAAGGTCCTGAGTTCAATCCCCGGCACCACAAAAAAATTAAATTTAATTTAAATTTTTTTTTAAAAGTACGCAATTTACCCATCACTGAAATTAAGACAGTAAGCACTTCCACGAAAGGCAAAGTATTTCATGAATTTTAAATTCCCTAAGGCAGCTGGGCGAGGTGACTGAGGATCACAAACTTGAGCCCAGCACTGCTGTCAACCTAAGGACTTGAAGAGTATTTCACAATTAAAAAAAGAAAGAAGAAAAAGCGGGGTATAGCTCAGTGTAAAATGCCTAGGTTCAATACCCAGTACCAAGAAAAAAGAAGAAAAGGTAAGACATGGTGGGGCACGCCTTAATCCCAGACTCAGGGCAGGAGAACCAGAGGTCAGCCCAGGTTGCAAAGTGAGACTCTTGTCTCAAAAAGCAACAAACAAGGCTGGCCATGGTGGGGCACATCTATAATCCCAGTCCTCAGGAGGCGAAGGCAGGAGGATCTCTTAGCTCCAGGCCAGCCTGGGCTACAAAGTGAGTTCAAAGCTGGCTTGAACTGCACAGGAACACCCTGTCTCAAAAAAGAAAAAACATGACAATGATGATACCTTCTTCACGTCAGCTATCCTTTCCTTCTTAGACGCTGGCTTTTCTTTGGCTTCTGGAAGGACTGGCTGTGATTTGGAGCCTGCGGACTCACTCTCAGATTCAGACTGACTCTCCGAAGATTCAGACGTGCTATTTGACTCGCTGCCATGCCCACTTCCGGCATCACTTCCCTGCTCACTTTCTGATTGGCTGCCAGAGTCAGAGCCCGAAGCTTCTTCAGAGCCTGAACGACTTAATTTACAAGGGAAAGAAGAGACAAACACAGAGATGTTTAAAAACATTTAAGAACTTCCATACAAAAAAAAAAAAAAATTTTTCACCCTCATGGTAAAATATCAGCAGATAACAATGCAAAATCATGGGCCAAGAAGATAGTTCCTGGCAAGTGCGAGGTCACAAGTTGAATTCCCAATACCAAAACAAGGACAAAAAATGATGGATCAGGCATGGTGGTGCCCGCCTGTAATCTCAGCACTCGGGAGGCTGAGTCAAGAGGATTGAGACTAGCCTGGATACACAATAAATTCAAGGCCAGCCTGAACTACATAATGAGATTCTGTCTCAAAAAGATGAAGAAAAAAAAAGAAAAAAGACCAGAATCTTCAAATTCACTTTTATATTTTCCTATTACAAATGATGTTACTATCACTGTCCATATCCACGTTGTCACCATTTCCTGAGTTTCTATGATCCCATGTACCAGCTGATTCGTGGAGACCAGCTGTCTCATTAAGACTAAAGATAGATGATACTACTCCC